GTGGTTAAGTTAGTAACATGGCTGTTAAGTGAAATTGGCTTCTCCATTGACTTTGCTTGTCGGAACGGGATCACATGACCCCGGGGACACTGCTGCTGCCGTAAATATGAACCACTTGCCAAGCATCCAAATTTTGGTCACATGACCAAGGAGATGCTGCAATGGTCATAAGTGTGAAAAGCGGTCATAAGTCACTTTTTTCAGTGCCATTGTAACTTTGAACGGTCACTAAATGAATTGGGGTAAGTCAAGTAATATTTTCTGCTCGAAAGTATTTTTGAAATTATTGGGTTTTTTTTAAAGAAAAAACAAAGCTGATCATTTCGATTTTTTTAAAAAGTCTGAGGGGCACCACTTTCATGGGCCAGTTTTGATTATTCATGCTAAAAAAAACCTATCTGGAAGGTGTGGATAAGCACTGTTCAATTTAACATGCAATTGGCCTCCCTGCCAATTTGTTAAAAGAAAGTTTTCCTGCACTATTCACATCCATTCACTGTAAAGACATCCCCACCAGATTCCCTCTCAGGAGATTTCCCACTTTTTTTTTGCTGGATAGGTGATCCACCTTCCTAGGAAAGTTCTAGGTTGCAGCTATCCGATGTTTACTTTTCCAAATTGTGCATGGAGAACATGCAGAGTCCAGAGGCATTCTTGCAAAGAGAGAACATGGCTTTTTTTTTTTTCACACCATGAAAGCTTCCTGTTGGTTGATTGATGTTGAGATCAAAAGAATCAATTTAAAAAAGTGGGAGGGCAGGAATTCAAGATGGGCATCCAAATATTACATACATTTTCTCTTTCTTGGTCACCTGCTGAAGCAAACAATGCCTCCCTTAACATCTAATTAACCTTGTCCTGGTGGGAATTTCTCCTATCAAAAGTTGGCGACATTAAGCAATAAAGATTGGAAAGTAGTCAAATATCTGCTTTCCATTCTGCAGGGCATGGAGGTGCAACTTTTATGGCAAAAAGAACACTTTTGGAAGGAGCCAAAGTTGTTCGCTTTTCTTGGTATTTTTTGTTGTTTTTTTAAAAAATTTTGGATGGGTGAATAACCAAAATGGAATGGATAGCGAATAGCAGTACCAGAGTTTGCTTTCCATTAGAAATTCAGGCTAGCTTCTGCCATTCGGGGATCAACTATTGGTGGTAAAAGAACCAGCAGCCAAAAATACACCACAGACCAGCACTTGGTGGGGAAGTTATGCAAGTCTTGGAAATGACATTCAGATGCTGCAGTGGGTCTATGCTGTAGAGGCAGTTTGGTGTAATGGTTAAGGAACCAGGCTAGAAACCAGAAGACATTGAGTTCTAGCTCTATCTTAGGCATGAAAGCCAGATGGGTGGTTTTGGGCCAATCACCAGGAGACTATGAGTTCTAGACCCGCCTTAGGCATGAAAGCCAGATGGGTAATTTTGGGCCAATTACGAGGAGACTGTGAGTTCTAGTCTCACTTTAGGCATGAAAGCTGACAGGTGACTTTGGGTCAGTCATTACAGGCTTATTGTGGGAGAAATAGGAGGGGGAAAGAGTATTGGATGTTCACTGTTTTGAGTTGTTTATAAAAATAACAAAGGTGGGATACAAGAAATAAATAAAAATATGAATGAATGAATGAATGAATGAAAGAAAGAAAGAAAGAAAGAAAGAAAGAAAGAAAGAAAGAAAGAAAGGAAGAAAGGAAGAAAGACCAGAATCATTCAGACAATGCTTTTCCCCGTGACTCTCTACAGAAGCAAAAGCTGGGCTTTTAAGAAGCGAGATAGAAATAGGATCGAAGAGCAAGATAGAAAGAATTTTGGTGCTTTTGAAATTTGGTGCTGGAGAAGATTCTTGAGAATGCCACGAATGATTAAGAAAATGAACCAATGGATTGTTGAACAAATCAACCCAGAATTCTCACTCAAAGCATAAATGACCCAGCTCAAATTACCATACTGTATTTTGGACATACTATGCAAAGACCTTTCTCTCAGCAGAAGTCCATCATGCTGGGAACGTTGAACAGAAAGAGAAAGTTTCAGTGGCCAGGGGTAAATCGTATGGGTTCTCTTATAGTGGTGATTGAAGATCCTGGAGAAAATCTATGTGGATACCAACAGTCAACACTGAATTGATGGTTTATAATAAAATCAAAGCTTTCGTTGTCTCTTCTTGCTGAGCTGAGACGTACAGGATTTTCTGCTTCTCCTGCTGTTTTAAAATGTCTCATGCAGGGCTGTGGTTTCAAGCAGAGAACTTGGATCAAGTCCTCCTGGATTGTGGAAGTCAGCTGACGAACGTTGGGCTAGCTAATGTCTTTTCACACAGCTTAGCTCATGGGATTGCTCTGAGAATTAAAGAGCTACTCTCTGCAGATAAGGTGACATAGAAATAAATGGTTAGCTGCTCAGACACAGGGAAAAAAAAAATCAAGGCTGCTAACTAATAGAAAAAGAAGTGATGGTCCAGGCCAGAGGTATCTAACCTGGACAACATTAAGACTTATGGACTTCAACTCCAGAATTCCCCAGCCCACATGGCAGGCTGGGGAATTCTGGGAGTTGAAGTCTACCGGTCTTAAGGTTGCCTATGTTGGACACCCTGATCTAGACACAAACTAGCTTAAATGAAGGTACAACAACCACAAGGGGAAGGGAAGAACATACACATTCTGCTTTGGTTTTGTGCAACCAAACATCCCCATCTAGAGCAGGGCTTTTCAACTAGTGGTATGGGTACCACTTGTGGTACATTGGCACCTGGCAGGTGATACATGACCATCCTAGAAAAGTGGTAGCGGGGGAGGGGAATGAGCTGAACCGGTGGCAGCACCACACAAGCCTGAGCGAGAGATGGCTGGAGCTGCAGGGCTGTCAGGGCTCAGCGGAAGTGCCAGGATCAGTGCCGCTTTCCAGCTGATCGGCGCTTCTTCAGGGCTGTCAGGGCTCAGTGGAAGTGCCAGGATCAGCGCCAGGCTCCAGCTGGAGTTCAGCGCTGATCCTGGTGCTTCTGCTGAGCCCTGAAGAAGCACCAATCAGCTGGAAAGCAGCGCTGATCCTGGTGCTTCTGCTGAGCCCAGAAGAAGCGCCAATCAGCTGGAATGTTGCAGCATCTACAGGGTCTTGTGATTTACATTCAGATGCTTGGCAACTGATTCATATTTATGATGGTCACAGTGCCCCAGGGTCATGTGAAGTGACCAAAACCTGCTGCAATCACCCAGCAGACGGGGGGGGGGGAATAAAAACCAAACACCCCCACCCCACCTATGCTGCCAATCCTCAACAGAAATGCCTCACAACAATGAAAACCTCGGACAGGAGGAAGAGCACGGCCGAGCAGGCAGGCAGGTGTCTTGCTTGGCTGTGGCTTGGGGGGCACTTTTTTCAGTGCCATTGTAACTTCGAATAGTCACTAAATGAACTGTTGTAAGTCGAGGACTAACTGTACTTCATCACTTTTTTCCTTTTTTTTTTTTGTCATCAAGTTTTTGACACCTTGCTAGGTGACTGGTGGTACTCGAATGTTGCCATATCCTAAAAGTGGTACAATGGGTGAAAAGGTTGAAAAGCCCTGATCTAGAGATATAGATCTGCATTGTAGCCTAGCATCCATCGCAGTTGGGATCCACAACAAGGCCCGATGCAGGTGCCACAACACTGATGGGTCAACTATCCCCAGGTGTTCCTCCTGGCCCTGCCCATTAGTAAAAACTGAAAATATTTTCTTTGAAAATGGCCAGCATCTCATGAGATGGCCCTAATTGTGTGACATTTCAACATTCTCACATGGGGTTTCAGACAAGAACACCAAAATCTTGGGAGGCCTACAGGATTGCAGGAAACGACACAAGGGTGCCTAGCAACTGACAGTTACTGATTCTAAATAGCTCACTTGGTCTTCCTTTTTACACAGAGAATGCTTGGAATTGATAATGTTTCCAAGCAAGAGATTCTTAGCAGCCCTACAGGAGCTTCCGTATGGATCTTCAACTTCCTTCTTCCTTCTTGTCGTGACACAAAAATGCCATTTTTAAAGGCCATATTTTCACGCAATTGCCTTTATCTCATCCTTGGCTAATTACCGAGGAGACTTGAATTTATCTTTTATCATTCCTATGTTACGGAAGTGTTTTCCACAGTCTGCTGACCATGCACAACTCTTCATTGATGATATTAGTGAGGACAAGTTCAGGGGAGTGGATTTGCCAAGTTTTTATTTATTTATATACTGGATTTATTATTTTTTTAAATAACTCAAGGCAGTGAACATATCCAATACAGCAGCAATCCCCAAGCTTTCTAATTCGGTGGACCGGTGGAGGCGGTGGCAGCAGCAGCGGTGGCAGGGGAAGAGAGATGGTTTCTTGCCTGCATGCATGCCACTTTCACAAATGCAGTTTCATGCACACATGCAGGAACACACATGCTTGCCCATCACTTCTGCAGCCCTGTTCTGAACAGGCTGCAGCCCAGCACCAGACTGCAGACCTAAGGTTGGGGGCCCCTGCAATACAGGATCCAATCTGGATATTGTATATCCTGATATCCAATATATCTTCCTCCTCCTAGTTTCCCCACAACTACAACCCTGTGGGTTGTTGGGCTCAGAAAGAGTGACTGGCCCCAAGTCATCCACCCAGTTTTTCATGCCCAAAGTGGGACTAGAACTCACAGTCTCCTTGTGAATGTCTAATGGAAAGCAAACTCAGGTAGTGCTGTTCAGTATCTGTCCCATTTTGGCTATTCAGCCCATCCTAAAAGCCAAACCCAAGAAAAGCCAACAATTTTGGCTCCTCCCAAAGTTACTCTGAGGGCCATAAAACTTACACTTCCAAGCCCTGAAAAATGGAAAGCAGATATCTGACTCTTTCCAATGGGACTAGAACTCACAGTCTCCTGGTGATTGGGCCAAAGTCATCCAGTCGACTTTTATGCTTGAGGTGGGTCTAGAATTTACTGTCTCCTGGCTTCTAGGCTAACCTGATGCCCTAGGCTTGACTTAGACTTCTGCATCACTGCACGTCAGGGAAAACGTGTGTCTGTTGTTCGGGTATGGTTGCATAACTGTTGCATTTATACTCCTGTGAATTTTAACATGCTCAACATGCTCAAACAACAAAGCACACAAAACATAGGAGACATCAACCAATCAGCTTTTTTTTGAACCTCCCTCCCCACAAAACAACCCTTTATCCATTCCAGCATCATTTATATTTTTTTAAAGTGTATGGCTGGGTTTGTACATCACACCAATGCATAACATGATTTCTTGGGTTAGTCCTCAACTTACAACCATTCATTTTGCAACCAGTTGAAGTTACATCAACACTGAAAAGGTGACTTACAACTGGTCCTCACACTTTCAATTGTCAGAGCGTCCCCAGGGTCACGTGATCAAAATTTGGACAATTGGCAACTGGCATGTATTTACGATGGTTGCAGCATCCCAGGGTCATGTGAAAGCTACCTGTGACCTTCCCATCTGGTTACGGTCAAACAAAGTCAACGGGGGAAGCTGAATTTGCTTAACAACCATGTGATTCACTTAACAACCATGGCCAAAAGGTCGTAAAATTGAGTGTGACTTAACAAACACCCTGCTTAGAAATGAAAATTCTGGTGTGGTCATAAGTTAAGCACTACCTGTATGTCAGCACAGCCGTTATTACCTACTCAAGAATTATGGTTAAAGTAAGCTATGGCTTGGGTGAAGTGCGTAAGTTCATTCATCTTCACAATAGCTTTAGAAAAACAGCATTATCTTGTCCTTTCATTTATATCAGGAAGGCTAAGGAGGCCAGGTAGCAGTTTACTTAGGATCAAACAGGAAGGCCGTGATTGAGAGAAGAGTAGGAGCCCATGGCTGATGCCTTTAAGCATTGCTCCATTTTTCCCATTATGTGAATTCATAATTGAAAAATTAGGTTGTAAGAAATTCCTACGTTATTTCAGCAGAGTGATGGCACCAGCTTCAAGGGTGAACAATCAGCAAATAAAAACAACAATGCTTTGTTTCCAGTTTGCTTTTTATTAGCCACAGGGTTCAGGGCTGGATCCTTTGTAGGAAGAACGGCTCCAAAGCAAAGTTGAGGCAGATCAGATGGATGGTAGATTTTCTTTCCTTCCCTTTTAAGGATAAAGGAGGGGTGGGAAATATGTTGGAAGAAAACGTTGTTTCGGTTTAGTATGGTTTATTGGTTTAGTGGGCATCAGTAGAGAGACAGATAATTGGCAACAGGGCAAGGGAGGCCAGTATCCTTGGAGGTTGAAGGAACTTATTACACTAATCTCACGGGTTGCAGAGGCTTTCCGCTACTCTGCTCACTCTCTCCAACCTCTTGTTGCTGCGTCTGATTTCTACAATTGCTGCAACTGCAAGGATACTTATCCCAGTGGAATCCAATGGCATCAATGACGGAACCGGAACGGCCGCTGAAGTAACGCAGGACGGTGTTTTGGAAGAGCGGTGCCCCACTGAAACTGGTGCCGTCGTCCCTGCCGAAAGAAAAGTAGCGCCCCCGGTTCGTGGTGAAGACCATTTTCTGGACATAAGTTTTATATTTTCCAGATACTTGAATGACGGACTCTCCTGGGAACAAGAAGATTTCCTCCAAATCTCCCGAATTGCCACCAAGGTAGTTACTCCAGTCTTTTCCATAACGGACCTGCAAGCTAGAATATATAAACAGGATCTTAATACTCTCGGACCAATTTCAATCTGTGAAGTATGAGTTTCCAGATTAGAATCATATTATTATCAATAAAAAGGCATCTTAGTTTCCTTAATAGATTTTCTTTGAGAAGAACAATGAAGAAATGAGCAATGGGGGGGAAAAACGGAGGTTAGAAACTGAGGCTACCTTTGTAATAACTCTTCTTAAAATTCTGCAAAGAATGTCAAGACAACTGCACAATGGAGCTTTTGTTTGGTCTTAATTACACCTACACTGATTAAAGGGAGAACTGGCTTAATGATGACTAAACCAACATCGGGAACAGTCTTTATTTCCAGCAAGTGTAGAAATTATCCCTGGGCTGTTAGAAGCCTTTCTCTGAGAGTGTGTTTGCTCGCATACTAAACCACACAGGTTATTCATTTCATCTGGCACTATACATCAACGTTCGGTTGAGTAATCCTATAGTTAACTCTGCCATGTGAAAAAACATGGGTTGGAAGAAGAGCCACTGGCAATTCAAAATGAAACAACGGAAGAATCTAGATGAATATTTCTCAAGCTTGGCAACTTGAAGTTGCATGGACCTCAACTCCCAGAATCCCCCAACCAGCATTCTGTACTTCCCTGCTCTTGTGGGTTGGGTAGATGTGATTGGGAAAACACAGTCATTCAAATGATGTGGTCCCTATGTTAGATTTGATCCAGTGTCTTATCCCAAAGATACTCTAGTGAAGTTTCTCAAGTTTGGCAACTTGACAATGCATGGACTTCAACTCCCAGAATTCCCCAGCCAGCCATACCCTACAAAGTTGTGTTGACACACGGGATATTTTAATTTCCACCAACCCAAGCAGGTTATTCCTTCATCATACATAATCCTGAGCCATAGCCCTCTCACCCATTCACGTACTTACCCCACAATGTACCGACTGTTAACCCGGATCCTTATGGCCGTTATGGGCCCCTCGAGTTGGTTCCCAGAATGAGAAAAGCGCTTTCCACCTGGCCCCCCATACACCCCAGAAAAGGAGGAACTCCGAGTAAACTCTGAAATAAAATGGGGGGGGGGGAGAAAGGGTTGAGCTGTGGTAGAGCTGTGTGGGTAATAGCCCCACTCACTGTGGAACAGCCTTTCCTTGAATTTACCTGCATGGAGGGTGAGGCCACACAAGAGGAGGAGGATGAGGATGAAACAATTCTTCCTGGAAAGACAATTGTGTATACAATCAATAAGCTACATTATTTTTACTATTACAGGTAGTCCTCGACTTACAATCATTTGTTTAGTGACCATTCAGTTACAACGACACTGAAGTGACTTTCAGCCATTCCTCACAATTACAACCATTACAGCATTCCCCATGGTCATGGGATCAAAATTTGGGCACTTGGCAACAGGCTGTCACAGCATCCTGAGGGTCATGTGATGGCCATTTGCAACATTCCCAGCCGGCTTCTGACAAGGCAAAATGAGTGGGGGGAAGCCGGATTTGCTTAACGACCATGTGATTCCCTTAGCAACTTCAATGATTCACTTGACCTTGGTAAAAAAAACCCCATAAAATTAGAAATAATAATAATAATAATAATAATAATAATAATAATAATAATAATAATAATATCTGTAATACCACCAAACATCCACATCTGCCTATCCCAGGTCCTTGGTAAGGACTTGATAGGTAGACAAAAATGCCAAATCCAGTCTGAACATCTGGCTGACTGTGCGATGATCAATAATAATAATAATGTTGGAAGGGACCTTGGAGTTCATCTAGTCCAACTCAGGCAGGAAACCCTATACCATTTCAGACAAATGGCTGTCCAGTCTCTTCTTAAAAACTTCCAGTGTTGGAGCATTCACCACTTCTGGAGGCAGGTTGTTCCACTGGTTAATTGTTCTGTCAGGAAGTTTCTCCTCAGTTCTAGGTTGCTTCTCTGCTTGATTAGTTTCCACCCGTTGCTTCTTGTCCTGCCTTCTGGTGCTTTGGAGAATAGCTTGACTCCCTCTTCTTTGTGGCAGCCCTTGAGATACTGGAAGACTCCTATCATGCCCCCCCTCGTCCTTCCCTTTATTAAATTAGACATACCCAATTCCAGCAATCGTTCCTTATGTTTTAGTCTCCAATCCCCTGATCATCTTTGTTGCTCTTCTCTGTACTCTTTCTAGAGTCTCAACATCTTTTTTACATCTTGGTGACCAAAACTGGGTGCAGTATTCCAAGTGTGGCCTTACCAAGGCATTGTAAAGTGGTATTAATACTTCACATGATCTTGATTTTATCCCTCTGTTAATGCAGTCAAGCACTGTGTTGGCTTTTTTGGCAGCTGCATCACACTGCTGGCTCATAGTTAAGTGATTGTCCATTAGGACTCCGAGGTCCCTCTCACAGTTACTACTATTGAGCAAGGTACCACCTATACCAGTGGTGGCGAACCTATGGCACGGGTGCCAGAGGCGGCACTGAGAGCCCTCTCTGTGGGCACGCGCGCCATCGCCCCAGTCTTAGGCCTTCAGCTGGGTTTTATAAAACCTTTTCGCTTTAGGCCTCCACTGCCGTGTGCCAAAAAAAAAAAAAGGTTCAATCAATTTCAACTTCTCGCGGGAAAAAAAAGATCTTGCAAAATTGGGATTGATTGAACTTTTTAGTCCCACCCAGTCTGCCGTTACCACCGCAGCCACGCCCACCCAATGGGCCACGCCCACCTGGCACTCGACAATTCATAAGTGGGTTTTGGGTTGCAGTTTGGGCATTCAGTCTCTAAAAGGTTCGCCATCACTGACCTATACGATATCTGTGCATTTGGTTTTTCTTGCTTAAATGTAGAACCTTACTTTTTTCACCATAGATAGCGCCCAGTGTTCAAGTCTGTCAGGATCCTCCTGTATCCTAAGCCTGTCTTCTGGAGTGTTGGCTATTCCTGCCAGCTTGGTGTCGTCTGCAAATTTGATGAGTTCCACATCTATTCCCTCGTCCAAATCATTGATGAAAATGTTGAAAAGCACTGGGTCCAGAACAGAGCCCTGGGGCACTCCACTACACACTACACACTTACTCACTTACCGTAACTGCCTTGCTTAGCAATGGAAATTCTGGCCCCAATTGTGGTTGTTAAGTCGAGGACTGCCTGTATATTGTGACACTGCCCTTTTCCCCATAGTAGCAGGCATACTTCCAATCTGCTCGCTGTATTTCTTGCAATATCTCCAAGGGGTGACTCAAGGTTAAACATTAGTCACCGAAGCCTTAGTATTCCTCATGCCCCAATTTTTACAGGGGAACAGAGGGCTTAATGGCAGAGCTTTAAAATCTACCGTACTCTCTACAAATCCCACTGACCTTCTCTTTCCAGAAAGCTGCTGCTAGAAAGAACTCTAGAGCCACTGGGATATAAAAAGCACGACCATTTACGGGTCACCTGCATCAGCGCAACTTTTGAGATTTAGGAAGTTTCTCCCCTATTAATTATTTTATTAAATTTAGAAACCATCCAGCTCCCTCTCTACCACTGAAGCAATTCTTAAAAACTTAGATTAAGAACAGTATATAAATTTTTCACCTAGATTGGTAAGAATGGATTGTTGGCTTCCTTTGATTGTGTTAAATAGAAAAAAAAAATCCTTGTCCCATTTCTTACTTACATCGTGACCAACGTAGTCCCAGGTTTGGAGATCTGTGGCTATCTCCTGAAAAGTCCCCTACGGGAACCTTCAACCTCTTTTATACTGCTTCCATTGCACCACATGTATCACCGTATCTTGGGAACAGGCCTGCTGGATCAACATCATAATTTCTTATAGATTTCTTGGGCTGGCACTTTCCTGGAAGGCAGCCCTCTCTCTCTTTTTCCTGGCTGCCTGGTGGCCCTGGCTTGGCTTCGAATGAATTCTAGGATAAGCCTGTCCTTCTGACCAACTTTGCTAAGGAGTAGCATTGGTCTGAAGGTGTTTTCCAACTAAAGGACTTACAAACTGGTTTGAAGGAAGCAAAGCTCTGAAGTTGCTCATCATTAGTAAACTGAGAAGACCCACAGGTTACCTAAGGTCCATAGTTCACCTGAACAGCTGACATAGCTGGTCTTCTTTGATCTAATGTTTCATGTATGTATGTATTGAACACTTTCACGTATTTTTAAAAATGAGGAAGAGCAAAAAAACCAAAAGTAAACAGTTTAATCCAGGATTTATACAGGGAGGGCCTGGAAGAAAGATAAAATGACAGATACCTTAAAAATTAGAGGTAAGAGAATATTCTAGAGCAGGGGTGTCAAATTGCTGCTCCGCAGGCCGGATGTGTCATGGTCCATTGCCGGCAATGGAAAAAAAGTCGCGATACGTTGTGACACGTCACATGACATTGCGAGTTTGACACCCCTGCTCTAGAGCAGTGTTTCTCAACTTTAGCAACTGTAAGATAGGTGGGCTTGTTGGCTGGGGAATTCTGGAACTTGAAGTCCACCTACCTTGGTTGCCAAGATTAAGAAACACTGCTCTAGAGCACAAGCACCACTCCATACAAAGATTGCACTCTACCAATCTACACACATGAAGCCAGATTCTCCCTAATGTTGCACTTCTCCACTGGCTCTTGACCCTTTTGTATGTCAGATGCTCTCAAGGGAAACAGCAACACAGGGGCTGGCCATTTTGTAGGCAGTCTGTCCTGTTGTATCTTTTTTGGACATCCCACTAATACCACTACTTTGTCACAGGTTCTTATAAGAATTCCCAAGTCAGCAGGCTCCAGGAGATCAGGTCAATACATATACAAAGAGTCAAAGGCTAGTACTCACTGGTCTCTTTTCTACTCTTTCCTACTATACTTTTATTCCTCCAACTAGTATTCCTTATGAATCCTACTGCTGGAGAAGGGTATCTTTTTCTATCTGCTTTAGACTTCTTTACTTCCATAGACTAACACTACCACCCCTCTCTCTCTCTCTCTCTTACACACACACACACACACACACACACACACACACACACACACTGTGTGTGAAAGAACAGGTGCTGCCATTTTATAGGCAACCTGTCCTCTCAAATATGCAAACTTTTGAATCAGATTTGGAAGTTAAGTGGCAGTCTGTGCATATACACACTCCAAAAGGCCTGGGCACAGCATTCTGCACCTGCCAGATAAATACATCACAGGACTCTGAATAAGAGGTCACCAACCCCTGAACAGATTATGTCCAGGAAAAGTCGCAGCTGACATACCAGCTGAAGATGATAACAGGTGCTCTTGCCCTCCAACGGCAGTTCAAGAGTTTGTGGTTCCTGAAAAGAGGACACCCCCCCACACACATTTGAACAGTTAGAATTTCTGCTCCCAATTTTTGTACCTGGGAACTATCCATCTGAATGGCTTTTGTTTTACCAGGATTGAGTTTGTTTATCGCCCCTCAACAATACCACCACCGTTGCCGGACATTCGTTCAAAACATACAAGGAGCCCTCAATTTACAATCACAACTGGGACCAGAATTTCTATTGCTAAATAAGACATTTTAAGTTGTTAAATGAATCATGTGGTTGTTAAACTGGAATCGGCTTCCCCTTTCCTTTGCTTGTCAAAAGCCTTCTGGGAAGGTTGCAGATGGCAATCACACAATCTGGGGATGCTGAAACCATTGTAAATACACGCCAGTTGCCGAGCACCCCGGTTTTGATCACCTGACTGTGGGGATGCTGTGATGGTCCTAAGTGTAAGGATCACCCACAAGTCATTGTTTTTCCAGTGCTGTTGCAACTTAGGTCACTAAGCAAATAAAACTAGCTGCATAACTTTTCCAAATTTAGGTGTTACTGAAAACTAAAACTGTGTGTCATCAGTGCATTGATACCAAATAGATGCAAAACATCTGACGACTGCCCCAGCAGCTTTATACAGGTGCTAAATAGCTTTTGGATCAAAATTAATAACTTGTGGCTCCAAGCAGCATGGCTGTCATTCACAGTGAAGAGGAATGATTACTCAGTGCTGCTCCTTGAACATAACCTTAAGTGCTCAGCCTCTACATCAGGGGTAGTCAACCTTGGTTCTTTTATGACTCGTGGACTTCAACTCCCAGAATTCCTGAGCCAGCATGGCTGGCTCAGGAATTCTGGGAGTTGAAGTCCACGAGTCATAAAAGAGCCAAGGTTGATTACCCCTGCTCTACATCATGGAGTTAATTCAGGAAAATAGGGTTACCAATCTTATCCAAGGCTGCTGAGGGATCAAATAGGATCAGTGGAGTCACACTCTCTTTTAGTCCTGCAGGAGATTACCAAGCAGGGCCACCCAGATTAATTCTGTTCCAAAGTCAATTCTAGCTGGCTTTTAAGTGTCCTCGAAGAACAACTGTACAACTATTATGCATCCAGTTTATGTCTTCAGGATTCAAAGATTTGAAAACTACCCCAAACCAATTAGACCAAATGGCACACTGGAGCCCTCCCATATGTATCACATCAAAATGCTGCTTTTAATATAAACTATGGTGAGCTTGTACCGCATTTCAGTGTGATTTATACTTCTACATTTGACGCATATAGATGAATATATGCACAGTTAATGCAAATCAGCGTCCTCTATTGTCTTTCTTTAATGATGGATTTTCTCTTTTATGGAGATGTATAAACAGAACTGATGAAGATGGAGGATAAAGTTAAGAGACGAATTACATGTAAATATTCACCAGGAAGTAAACCCTGGTGAGTTCAATAAAAACAGAAGGTGGATTTTTCATTTTAGCAAAAATGGCTGTTAACGCCTGCTATGATAGAACAGACACTACCAGTCGTTCTCAATCTTTTCTTCATCACGGACCCCCTTTAAATAACTTTTGTGGCCATAGACCAGGGGTCTTCAGACTTGGCCCTTTTATGACTTGTGGACTTCAACTCCCAGAATTCCTCAACCAGCGTGCCAGGCTGAGGAATTCTGGGAGTTGAAGTCCACAAGTCATAAAAGGGCCAGGTTTGAAGACCCCTGCCATAGACCAAGGCCATGGACCACCAAGACTTAACTCAAAATTTAAATCATAACTTTTCTTCAAGCCTTTGTGGACACCTTGTAACATGCCCCCCCAGGGGTCCGCAGACCACAGGTTGAGAATCACTGGACTATACCATTTCTCATCAGAGCCAATGGGGAAGTTGTGATTTATACACATCACTCTGTGTAACACCAATGGGGTCAGAATAACACACTCAGTCTATAGAAATCTGGTGCCTAACACTCAGTCTATAGAAATCTGGTGCCTTTCCCGACTTCTGATTATCTTCCTGTCTTTGAATTGGCAGAAAACTATCCAGTCATAATATTTGCTATTTCTATTTCCAATTCCTACTAGATCTATAAGTGGGGCTGGAATGTCTGTTGCTAAGCAAAGTGGTCATTAAGTAATTTCTTGGCTTCACTTTGAGATGTTAGACGTTGGAAAAAGTGCAAAGAAGAGCAACTAAGATGATAAAAGGCCTGGAGACTAAAACATATGAAGAACGGTTGCAGGATTTGGGTATGACCAGTCTAGAGAAAAGGACTATGGGTGATATGATAGCAGTATTCAAGTATTTGAGGGGCTGCTGCAAAGAAGATGGGGTCAAACTATTTTCCAAAGCACCAGAAAACACAACAAGAAACAATGGATAGAAACTAATCAAGGAGAGAAGAAACCTGGAATTAAGGAAAAACTTCCTAATAGTGAGAACAATTAACTACTGGAACAGCTTGCCTCCAGAAGTTGTGGGTGCTTCATCACTGGAGGTTTTTAAGAAAAGACTGGACAGCCACTTGTCTGAAATGGTACAGGGTCTCCTTCTTGAGCAGGGAGTTGGACTAGAAGACCTCCAAGGTTCCTTTCAACTCTATTCTGATTGGCTTTTTTGCTGTAATCATTAAGCAAATCACCAAGATTGTTAAACAAAGCATGCTATTGGTTAAGTGACTCCAGCTTCCTCTATTGACTTTACCATTGGAAGCTGGCTGGGAAGGTTGTAAATGGCAATCACATCGCCCTAGGATAATACAACAATCATAAATAATGCCAGTTGCCAAGTGTCCAAATTTTGATCATGTGACTGTGGGGATTGGGTGTAAGTCACATGATCACATGACTGTGGGGATTGGGTGTAAGTCAGTTTTTTCAGTGCCACTGTTAATTTTGAACAGTTGCTAAGCGAATGCTTGTAAGTCGAGGACTACCTGTGCTGTATTGCCTGTTTTGGTTTGCTACTAAATGGCATTGTCTTCTTTTGTATGTGCAAAAATCATGGAGAAAAATCTACCCATGTAGTTGCTAAGCATTGACAATGACTTGATGGCACATAATCGATCAATGCCACCAGCCATCTGCTAATAGAATAACAAAAGGGAAACAGGGCAGGAACAGAGCTTGGGCAAGTGATGAGTTCTGACAGATGATCACAGTGTTTGTCCAACTGAGCCATCCAACAGGAGACCAAATCTGTCAATCAGGGAGAACGGCAAGAAAAGAGAGATCGAAGCTCCCATAAAACCTGAATGGCTGGTCATTGGATTGAGGTTGTTGTGCAATAAAGTCAGACAGCTGGCACTCTCCAACCCTGACAGCACAACCTCTCTCACTTTAACAGCCAGCTCAAGTCAGCCTGAGTTCAGAGCTCTTTCAAATATCTAATTTCTCCTAGGCGTTGAAGCAACCCACAGCTGTGCCCAACTCTTTCATGACAAGGAGAGAAAATAGCTGTTCCCACGCTCTGCAAATCATCATATTGCAATAAAACAGTGGTTCTCAACCTTTTTAATGCCGCGACCCCAACCG